GCATTCCAAAATTTTTTGTAAATTTCATATTAAAATATTTAAAATTTCCAGCTTCAGCCATTTCCAGCTTCAGCCATTTCCGCTTCAGCCACGACAATATCTTTAATCCAAAAATAAAAAAAAATTTAGTAAATCAAATTAACATTTTTACCCAATTCATTTTCATTTTTATAAATGAAATTATTTTTATTTAAATAACTTTATAAAAAAAAAAATCAAAAAAAATGTGAATAAAAAAATTTTTGAAATCTAACTAATTACCGGACGGTTTGTTCTTCGGTGAAATCTTTGGAAAAGTAATAAAATACATAGTTGCATTTGGTGGAATTTTCGATTTCATTTATCTTTGAATTTTATCTTCTTTATCTATTTACAATTGGTTGACAACAAAATTTTTTAAAGAATAACGATCTAGAGATTTTTGAGGGCACAAAATTGTTGATACAGATCACACTCAAAATTGTTTCACAATCTAAATTTAGATTGTCCAAAAAGTTGATTCTAAAAAGAATTCATTCAAATTCAATTGACAAATTTTGAGAACCAAAATTTTTTAAATAATAATGATATAGAGATCTACAAACAGGACAATACCAAATTCTATTTTCGGTGACAATTAACATTAAGAAATCTTTATTGTCCGAATTATGCTAACCGGTTCCGACCTCTAATGCAAGCTAGGACTTTAATTAATAAATAGACTATTTCTACCTTATTGAACGTCATTACTAAAGTGTAAGTGAAAGTACACATATTTCATTTTAAGATTATTATTTTACTAAATAACGTGGCAATATTTCGAAAAATACCGAATTTTTTTTATATTTATATTCGATAAAAATATGTTTTTTAAATAGAAATTTTTAAATTCAAAAAATAAACAATAAAAAAAAGTGAGTTATCATTCATCGCATCACTACCCCTGATCGACCAATCAGAATACAAGATCAGGTGTAACGTCAAATCGTGATTTTTATCTATTTTAGCAAAATTTTGGGTGAGGGATGCGATTTTAGCTATTATCTATCCTAAACCTAAGCCCGGTTGCTGTTTGGTTTGTTTTGTCAAAACAAACCAAATGATTGATCGATCAGGGGGTAGCGATGCATCGCACGGGTATATTGTTCTTTTGATATTTCATATGTCAGACTATTACCATCGGGATTCAGTTCTTCGGTACTTTGTACCAAACCCGATAACGATAATGAGTCTATCCCGTATGTTTTTCATTGCATATTAATAAAGTTTCTGATTGAGAAATAATAGTATAAAAAATCTGTTTGCAGCAGCAGCATAATGCTGCACATTTGATAGTCAATAGAAATTGAACAAATCTATCGCTATAATCTTTATTCTCCATTACGTTTTTGTCATGAAAAAGTTTGACACCCGTCTCATCCCTTTCACTCTTTATCCTCTTTATTTTTGTCCAATCAGAATGCTTTGTCTGATATGCAATACAATTTTTGCCGTTTGCAAAATGATATATATAGCACAACATATATATATCAAATTTTGCAGATCGCAGCTCGCACAAATAATCACCTGTTTTCTGATTGTGCGATTGTGTAAAATTTTATATAAGAAAGTCATAAAAATATTTTATTCGAATCGAATTTTTTTAAAATATCACTTACAATTGCACAATCTGACGATGATCAAGTGATTGACCTGCGAGCTGCGATCTTCAAAAGTGGTAATTAACAAATGAAGAATTGATCTACGGGGTCGATGGTGAAATTGTAGTATAGATGCAATATTCAATATCGATATCGTTGATAATTTAAATTTTATTATTCAAACCCAGTTTATTTTCCGACGGCCTCTAGTTGCCGTCGGAGAACAAACTGAAACTTATATATATAAGGTAGTTTCATAGGGTTTATGAATTTGGGCAAAATTAAGGCTTAATTTGGGTAGAATTCAATAATTGAGTCATGATTTAATAGATATGAAAATTATGTAATCCTTTACATAAACAATAATATTATATTAAGAACTATATTTTTAAAATTAAATATTTAAAGAGTTTGTGAGTTTGTCAAGAATAAGTGAATAATTTTTTAAACTAAAACAATTTCTTTAAACTTGTCTATTTTTAACCTATAAGTAACTTATACTTTTTTCTTATAATATAAAATTAAATTTTACTATAATGATAATATAATCCTTATTTTCAAATATTAAATAAAATTTTATTTAAATATTTTAAAATTTAAAAAAAGTAAATCATAAGCTTATTGTTAGTAAATTTTCAGGCAAATTTGCCTGGAGAAGCCTACAGATTAAGATATAGATAAAATAATAAAAATATCAGGAATACCCCTTATATTTTTATAATTTTTTTGTTATTTATAAAATTTATATTTTTTTAAAATAATATGGCATACCAAGAAATGTGTCTAAATACCATTGCTTTTAAAGGTGAGGAATTTATCGCTAAATCTTTAAGGTCTGTTTTGTTTCTCTCTGGTTATGTCAAAGTCTGACAAGGGGTGTCTACTGCTGACCATAAATCAACTTTAAATGGTTCCAAGATGTTTGGTTGTACTTGGGGTGCTTTACCTTCTGGGTGATTGTATGTCTCAGATTTCTATAATTATTCAGCAGCAGTACACGCATACGTCATTTTATATCGTAAAAGAATTAATATTACTAAAAAAAGTTCTTTTCCCAACTATACATATTAGAATTTATTAGTGGTCAAAATTCGAATTCTATTATTTAGGGAATTTTGTGGCTTTATTTTTTACATAATAAACGGTGGATAATCAGGATCTGAAGGTAGGAAAAAGAGGGTGGTATTTACGTTTTTATATTCGATGTTTACAATGCGCTTTCATAAGATTTTGTCACTTTCGTTTATAAGATTTTGCCGTTTTTAATAAAATGTTTACCAGATGAAAGATACTTTCTAAAAAGTGGTGTTAAATTTTTGGTGCGAATTTTATATATTGTGTTTAGAATAGTAACCGATTTTACTATTTATTTTGATCTTAATGTTCTTGTTATGCGCCCTTGTCCCTGCGCATAACTGCCGTGACTACCAAATTTCAGCCACATCCATTATATTCATAGGATTGGTCTATATTTAAAAAAAACTGAATTTAGAATAGTATTACACATTTGTGTTTGTTGGATTGAGTGATTTGTTGGGCGTAAACATTTTATAATTTAAATAGTATGTCTTGATTTATTTGAATCGATTCGTCTATCTGCACTTCGATTTCTTTATTGTTTTTCCATTTTTTTATAGTTTCTCATATTTCGTCTGCACATGGCCTTTTTTTAGAATCGAATTCGCAACATAAATTTATCAACTCCGTACAGTACAGGTTTTGGTTTTGAGTTATTTGTAATTGTACATGGTTATACGAAAATAAATAAAAATCAGGATCGATAGATATCAATTTACCAAATAATATTTCCCATATTATAATTCCAATCGAGTAGATGTCCGATGCTTTAGTATGTTGTTCTCCAATTAAAATTTCCAGTAGAATATATGGAAAGACACCGTAAATACCTTTGAATTCTAAATTGTGATTCTCGTTAATATCAATCGCGAGCCCCAAGTTATTAATGTATGCGCTTTTCTTTGTGCCTAGTAATATATTTTTCCTGTGTAGATCTCGGTGGATAATATTGCAAGTGTGTATAAATCTGAGGTCAGAAATTATACATAAAAGTATATCTACTTTTTGGTTCCACTGTATTTGTCGAATCTTATCTAGGTTGTCTAACAGAGTGCCTTTTTTGATATATTCTAATATGAGAATGTAATTATTGGTTGTCGGTTCTTGTGAAATACCAAAAAAGGTTAAAAGAGTAGAATTTTTACAACTTAGTTTGCCATATATAATTCATATACGAATTCATTAGTATTGAATTTACTAAATGATTTTAAAGCAACATTAATAGGAAGTGATATTTGCCATAACGCTGAATGTACTGTGGCGAAACTACCTTTGCCTAACATTTGAATTTCGTCAAATTCATCATAAGAAATATATGGAATTTGATACTTCTTTAGAATTTGTTTAATATTGGTGTTAGATAACAATATTGTGTTTGTTAAAAACACCAAAAAGAATGGTGAATACAAATCACGTTTAAATACTTTTTTTAAATTATTCAATTAAAATATGTTCTAATGTTTCTTTGTCCATAAAGATATAAAATTTAAAGGCAAGATTTCTTAGTAAGCAATGAGTTGTTTCAAAGTAGGGATTTTAAGCATCACTGATTTCAGCAAGAATAATGTGTACATAAATCTGAAATATAACACATATCAATCAACTATATTGTTATTGATAATGCTAATACTGAAATTTTTATCTATCTTAATTTAATTTTGAGGGTTTTTTTAGGATTGGGCTAGGATTTAGTGTTAGAGTTTACAATACAAGAGTGCATGTTGATTTTAGTATGTTTATATTTTCAAATTGAGATCTCAAATTTTAGCATCGGTCACAACATTTATTTTAGACAAATTTCAGTATCATCAAATCAGCATCAGCAGCAATATTTATTACTACCGGTCTTCTTAAATTCTCCGTTAAAAGTTAAATAATCTATTAATTCAATTCTTTTTCATCAGCGGTGTCCGAGCTGAATAAACCTGTGATAATTACTTCAAGTACTGAATGAATTAGTTTGAGCATATCGGCTAATCCATGAACTTGCTGATATCTCTTGATCTACTGGCCCGTTTTGGATGAAATAGCTACCAAAATGTTCGTCTCGATGAGACGATTCTAACGAGCCCAAAATCGCTAAAATCCAATCACAGGATCCCGAGAACGTTCGAAATTTGTGCAATTTTAATAGGATTTGTACTATGTAGACAATCAACCGAGAAATGGGTTGTCATATATACAACCCATTTCTCAGTTGATTGTCTACATAGAACAAATCCTTAACGATCTCAGGATCCTGTGATCAGATATTAATAATTTTGAGCTTGTTAGAATCGTCTCATAGAGACAATCATTTTGGCGGTTAAATCATCCAAAATGGACCAATAGACCAGAAGTTATTCGACATTAAAGGTGTTTACATAGTGATTCTAAAAAAATACTATTAAAATTGCACACGTTCTCGGGATCCTGTAATTGGATTTTAGCGATTTTGGGCTCTTTAGAATCGCCTCATCGAGACGGACATTTTGCTAGCTAAATCATCCAAAGCAGACTAGTAGATCAAGAGATAGCAGCAAGTTCATGGATTAGCCGATATGGTTCATTTTTTTCTTCTTGTTTATTTCTACTAATTCGACAATTTATGTAGTGTTTGATTGAATAGATTCAATGTCAGTATCGATTTCCATGAATTGACCACCCTATTCTTCTATTTTTAAAATTCCGATTCAAGGAATTAAATAGGCACGCACGCTAATAAAATTAGCTTTTTTTTGTTATTTTATCTGAAATCGGATGCCAAATCATTAATTCCGAAACCCTCCATTTATGTATTTTAATGAATTTAGATGTTTAGATTTTAATTAACTCAGATATATTAATTCAACATTTCTTCAATTCTGATATCCTAATTCATGTTTACCATTACATTCTAATGTACAGAGGATTGGAATCGGTTTAGTCAACTAAAAAATCCATATAGTAAACTACTATATTTGGTCGACTAATTAGTTGATTAAACCGATTCCAATCCTTAACAGTATGTTTAGAGTATAAGATATTACAAATCCAGATTTTTGCTAACATCGCTTAGATCGTAATTTCACTACTTCTGAACTGGTATGTCTGCAAAACTAAAGAGATAATTTTCGAAATCCTCTTGACATGCTCTATAATGCTATAGAGTCATATTTTAACTTTATTATGCTCAATTAATATTCACTGTATCTTTATAGTCATACTAAGAGGAATTCAAGTTTCATTTTTTAATAATATTTTAATCAGATATTTTATACATATTTATTATCCAATATTCTAGTTTAAATTGTCTAAATTTTTAATTTAAAACTGACAATTTACGAATAAATAAGAATATTGATAAGAATAGGGGTAATATAAAATTATCTTTCTTTATAATTTTACATGATTTTTAAATTTAAATTGATTGTAACGTTTATCTACCAAACTAATTTACTGATCTTATTACTATTAGAATCACAAAAACTAGCTCTACAAATTTAATTAGAAGCCCACAAGAAGTTAGCTCAATAAAAAATTTATATAGTGATAGTAACTAAAAATTATTTTTATATTACAGCAAAAAAAGGCAGTGGGACAATCATGTAATTTGAGAAGATTATCTACAATTGTCGATGACTTAAAATAAGTTCATGAGATTTTTTCATTAGTCAGAATTGCTGGTGAAAATTTCCATAGCAATTCCCTCTCGGCTTTTCAATTTAGAGCACTAATTTTTAAGCCAATTATTTAGACAATTTGATTTTACAAAAAAAAAATAAAATAAATAAAAAACAACAAAGTATTTTGTATTTAAATTGGGTGAGTGTTGCTTTTCAAACTAATCAAGATTAATATAGTTCTTTTCATCTTTCTTCTGCTATTAAGGTGAAAAATTAAATTTTAATTTAGAATACCTTTAGTCATATGAAGATTATAGTAAATGATATTTTTTTTATTGTGAATTTAAAAATTTACAAGCTTTTAATTAAAAATGAAGACTTAATACCAATTAATGTATGATCTCTAATCTGCCCAAATTTTTTTTTTATTCTAAATTAGCTAAATTTATGATCTGGTTCGTCCCAAATTCATTAATTCACACTCTAATTCAGCCCAATTTTTGTTTATAAACCAAAATTTATAATTTACATGTAATTCGGCCCAAATTTAAACAATTCATTTTCGTCCCAAATTCATGGCCCAAATTAATTCACGCTCTAATTCGGCACAAATTTATGATTCGATATATAAAATTATACCGCCCGAATTAAATAAATCACAAACTTATCTAATCCCAAATTCACATTAAATTCGGCCCAAATTTATGCTTTAGTTCGGCGTAAATTTTTATTCTAATTCGACTCAAATTTATATTTCAAATGTGTACTAATTTGGCATAAATTTATCGTTATGCTTTAATTCGGCACAAACTTATACAATTATTCAACTTAGCTAACTCAGCTTTTAGATATATGCTTCAAATACGCCAAATTTTTTACTCTGCCAAATTCATATATATTCAACTTATCTGTTAGATATAATACTCTAAATCTGTCAAATTTTTTCATTCCAATTCGCTCAAACTTATGCTCTGATCCGGCCCAAATTTCATACTTTATTACGGCCCAAATAATTAAACCAAAATTTATACCCTAAATTTATACTCTAATTCGGCCCAAAATAATTAATCAAAAGTTTAATCTACATGACCAATCATGAAATTATACAAAATTATACAAAATTGTACAAAATTATACAAAATTATATAAAATTATATAACATTATATATATAAAATTATACAAATTTATACAAAAATTATATAGCCTTCAGAATAAATATATAAAGTCAATCAGCACTGCAATAGGTTCTCAAAAAAAGAAATTTTCGGTTGCAGAAAATGTATTCGCATAGCAAA